GGCACACCACCGTGTGCGGGTCCTCGAGGATGGCGGCCAGCAGGGGCTGCAGCCACATCTCGTTCACCTCGCAGTGGCTGTCCAGGAACACGAGCACTTCTCCTGCGGGGCCAAGGGCAGAGGCTCTGGGGGAACGCCGCTGTCAGGGCAGGGCTGGCACCCTGAGAGGCGGCGCCTCCGCCCTCCCCGCCCTCCCCAGGCCAGGCCTCCCTCTGCCAGCGCTGCTGCCGGGCAGAGTCGTAAGCGTTACCTGCATCTTCAGCTCCTGACCAATGTAAGCAGAATGGGAATTTCTGTTTTTGGTAATTCCAAATTATTTAATAACTCGAGGTTATTCTGAGCAGTGGAGAAACTTAAATGCAGGCATCGGAGAGCACCGCAGGCCTAAGTGTGTCTGCAAGATGCACCCGCGCACGTCTGACAGAATACTACACCGCCAGGTGCATGCAGCTTCAGTTCATGTAAAGCAAGACCTAGGGACATCTGTGGTGGTGGCAGTAAGTTAGCCAGGTACCTTGCGAAGGACCTGAAAGAGGACAGCGAGCGGGCTACCGCTCTCCAGCTGTCCCGGAACACAGGAGGCAAAATGCCCAGGTGGAAGTTCACCAACACGGAGATCAGTTCATTCAAGGCTGGGGAGGAGAAGTATTCACAGCTTTCTCCCAAAATGTTACTTTTCCAATGAATGCCAATGTAACCGCATCAAGTAAGACTGTATCTCATCACCCTGAAGCTGCCACAACTCTTCCTTCTGACAAATCCCACACTACCTCTGAACAGTGACCTGACCAGATCGGACAGAGTAACTACTTTTACCTGAGAAAAGCTCACAGTAAATATGCACTGTGACAGCACAGTGGGTCAGACAACGCAACCTCGAGAACAGCCCCAGTTTTCTCTCTCACTTCCAATCTCAGCACAGTGGCCGCTCAGCAGGGCTCTGACCAGAACCTAGGACGCTGATCAACGCACAGCGCTCCGACCAGACCCCGAGGGGCCGCTGCTCAGGCTTTGTTGATTAGTCCAGGTCACTGGGGGGTGGGGGGGGGCGCGCATGCTGGAAGCGAAGTCCCAAGTGAACCCAGGCGAAGGGAGAGGCAGTGGCAGCTCGGCCACACCTGCCGAGTGCCATGAACCGGAGGGCCGTCCCAAGAGCAGTGCAGACACAGCCGGTGCTGTCGTGAAGGGACACCCCGCCACCGAGGCTAATTATTAAAACCGAACACTCTTAAATAGATTTATGTTTTAATTTAAAATTATTTTAAAAGGAAAATTTTTTACCAGGATCATAAAATCAGGACCCCCAACCTGACACATGGTTCTTTTTAGGTACCCATAAAAAGAAACGCCATGAAGTCAGTATACATGAAGACTGACCACTCCGCAGAAGGGTCCGAATTTCATACTGTTCCTTCTTTTTAGACAAAGACACAGAGATCAGTGTGTCAAGATCATTTAGTAACAGTACCTTCTCCTTGATGGAATCCAAAGGATCAAGAGGGAATTTAAAAAAAAAAAAAGAGGGAATTTTTAAGAAACATCTTTCCTAGTAATAATGGAAGTCAATCCCATGTTTCCCTGAAAACAAGATCTGGCTGGAGAATAATCAGCCTTGAAAACTAGAGGTCAGAAACGTCAGCCACACTCAGCCTGTCCTTGCCCCACCTGCCTTACGGAGGACCACGGAGCTAGGAGTAGAGGCGGCAGGCAAGGCCCAGACGGGCGGCTGGGGCCGGCACTTCTGATCTGCAGTTTTATTATTTTCCAGCCAGGTCTTGTTTTCAGGGAAATAGGGCCTCAGCATCTAAAATCACATCTCAGAGGTACGTGGTCTTCTACACTAAGAATTATCAGCGTAATCCAAGCAAACGGTTTGAGCTCAAGCAAGTTTTGTATTAAAAAACCTAGAAAAGTTCAGTTACAATTTGGTTTGGACTTTCTGCCTGCCGACGAGTGGAAACGTTACTTAGGTCCTGTACGCTCGGAGGGGCAGCAGGGTAGCCGTCAGGAGAAGGCCTCTCCTAGCTGCCCAAGCCCGCCGCTCCTGCTGCCAATGCCACTGCGCACTGGGTTTGGGCCTCTGCGGGAGAGGACAGACGCACGGCCAGTGCCCGGCCTGGCCCCACCGAGAAGACCCCGCGCCGTCCTACCTGTAGCGTGGGCTGCTCCGATCATCCTTCCACGGATCAGCCCCTCTCGCTTTGTATTTCTGATCACTTTAGTTTTCTCAGGGAGGTACTTCTGCACATACTCATCTAGTTCTCCTTTTAAATCATCTGAAAAAGAGCGCCTCAGTTACTCACACCGGGTGGGACACTGGACAGCAGGTGCAAAGCTGCCTTCGTACACAGAGACTCTAAAAACAATCGGGACCCAGCGGCCCAGAAGCTGCACGAGGCACCGTGCAGGCATCTCCCAGCTAGTCCAACATAACGCGCTGTACACGCAAACTCCACAGCAGACTCGCGCAGTCTTCTGCTTTGCTCTCAGGGTTTCACACCTGATTCTGCAGGAAGAAAAGCAGTGACAAGGGGGAGCGGGAGCACCGGCCAGAGAAGGCACCCCTGTGGTTGGAGACTTGGTTTCCATGGCCCCGGCACCATGTGTGCATGGACAGTGTGTGAAGGAATCTCCCAAGAGCGTGAATGCCAGCCGGCTGCACGCAAGTCACGCTGACACAAGGCAAACAGATGTCAGTGGCTTCTGAGAAACTAAATCCTAAATCTTACTGTAGTTCAGATGACTTAAGAAAGGGCTGAGGATGTAGCTCAGTGGCACAGCACCTGCCCAGCAAGCGCGAGGTCGTGAGTTCGACTCCTGGTACCAAAAAAAACCAGGTTACCTAAGAAATAACTTCTGTTGCCCCTACCAAGAATTATACAATAGCAGTACAATGTGACCTCTTTATTAATCCATGCCTTTCTTCCAAAGGCGTCAATTTTTTTTAAACAAAGCAAATACTCTACTCCTTGTTTTTTATTCAGTCATTTTCTTTCTTGTTTTTTTGTGACAGGGTCTCACTATGTAGCCCCACTGGCCTCAAACTCACAGCGAACCTCCTGCCTCAGCCTCTGAGTGCAGGGATTACAGGCGTGTGCCACCATGCCCAGTGGCATTAAATATTTTTATGAATTTCAAGTCATTCTCTTACCTTTAAATTTCATAATCATGTTGTGATTTTTTTCTTTTTTGGGGTGGGGGGCGGTTTCCAGTACCGGGAACTGAGCTCACGACCTTACACTTGCCAGGCAGGCGCTGTGCCGCTAAGCTAAATCCCCAGCCCCTTCATAATCATGTTAAAGACTACATAAGCTAGTAAACAGTAATTTATTCCACAGTACACAAACCACTACCAGTCATCATGAATTTTTCCTTTTAGATAAAACACAGTCACAAAATGAAAATAGGCTGCTTAAAAAAAAAATGTACAGTTGAGCATGGTAGTAGCTGCCTAAAGTCCCAACTACCTGGGAGGTTGAGGCAGAACTGTCTGTTGAGCCCAGGAGTTCCAGGCTGGCCTGAGCAACTCTGCGAGACCCTATCTCAAAAAAATAAAAAAGAGAAAAAAACTATACATATGAATATACACACATGCAGCACACATTCTAGAATTTGGTACTGAGCATATCTTCTAATTGTTCCAGATTTAGACTTGCTTATTTTTTTTAATCACACATTTTTGGAAGTAAGTTTCTGAAAAGTCTAATTTTCTCTCAGTTTCAGAATTTACTGAAATCTGAGAAGCCGGGTCCCCGGGCGTCAGCACCCCCAACCCGAGTCGGGCACACCAGGACCCCGGCTCCGGGCGGCGCTCTCGGCCCCGAGTGCGTGGGAGGTCGCCGCGCTCCTGCAGGGCGCTGTGTGGAAGGAGGCGCCTGGGAGCTGTGCTTCACAGCGACGGCCTCGTGAGCCCGCCCCTCCTCGCTCCACCGGCTCCACCTTTCGGTAAGGCGCCCGCGAGCCAGTGGGTCAAGCCTTCGTCCTGCCTGTGGACCTGAGGCCGTCCTGCGCACAAATCCAGGCAGGTTCTAAAGAGGTGGAAATGCGAAGTGAACTGTAAAACAGGCACGCAAAGGTCACGGAAGCGCTGTGAGGTGCCATCCGCTGCGGCACGGCGACAGCGGGCGGGAGGCTTAGAAGACAGTAGGGACCGGGCACGGTGCCCTCTCAAGGGTGCACACTGAATGACTGCGTTTGCGTGACCTGCGTGAAATGACAAAGTGAGGGACGAGCGGCGGCCACGGCCGGGGAGGGGGGACGGGAAGGGGTGTGACCGCAGGGGTCACATGGGGCGGGCCTCTGCGAAGATGCAGGGGTGGCGCCCTGGCTGCTGCAGACGGAACGGCTTGGGACTGAACACGCGGTCCGGCATGGACACGAACTGTCCCCGAGGCTCGGTCCCCGTGCAGCAGTGCTCACAGGTGGCCTTGTGAAAAGGACCAAATCGTAAGGCCTCCAACTTCCTCTGCGGACCCCCCTGTCCCCGGAGAGCCACGATCTGATGGCGTCCGGGGAGGCGACGGGAGCGCGGGCCTGGGACCCGCTTAGAGCACGGCTTTGTCCCGGGCGGGCACACGCTCTCACGCTGGCTCTCCGACCCCTGGCTGCTGGGAGCTGCATGCACTCACGACCGGGTAAAGGAAGGGAACCAGCTGACCAAGGCCCGAAACCTTGGGAACCATCAGCCAAAATAAACTTTCCTCCTTTTGGGTGTCATTCTCGGGTGTCATGTCACCATTACGGAAAACTAATGCTGCATTTTACCAGGAAGGAATTCCTGCCACTGTCTGCTTCCCACTGTAACTACGTAAGCCGCAACCAGACCAGGGGACCCCCGGTGTGGGGTCCCTCTCTGTAAACTCTTAAAGGCCTACAGTTATTCTGTAATAATTTTGTTTAAAAGTAAACCGAGGGAAAATGTCAAGGGCCAAATCTGGGTCGCACAAGCTGTAAACAGTTGGAGCCGTGGGCCTGGGCGGCTTTGCTGGCCGTCACTGGAGACTCCCTTACCAAAGTCACTGTCGTCATCCACGAGGATGATTTCATGGAGCAGGGAGGCAGGCGTGCGGTCTAGCACGCTGTGCACTGTGCGGAGCAAGGCAGAAAAAGCTTCGTTGTAGAAACAGATAACAATACTGGCTACGGGCAGGTCAGCTGGGTAAGACTTCTCTTTACATCTGTAAAAATAAAGACCAAGAAGACGGACACTTTAAAAGTGGCCAGGGTCTTAGACTGTTTTGCACTGAATACATCCTCCCCTTGTCCAGCCCCTTACATTATAACAACTTTTTTTTAAAGCATGTAAGAAAACACTGGTTTATTATTCAGGTGTTTTACATTTTGTTAATTTCCTCTGACACCTGCTATCGCACTTCCTTTTAGGTCCACTTTGTTTCTTGGCTGTTTTGAGACAGGGTCTTGCTATGCAGTTCAGGCTGGCCTTGAACTCACTATGTAGCTTAGTTTGGCCTTAAACTCACAGAGATCCTCCTGTCTCAGCCTCCCAAGTGAGTGCTGGGACTAGAGGTATGTGCCACCGTATCCCACAAGGTTTACATTTTTGAAACTTCAAGTTTTCTCCTTTTTTTGTGGAGAACTTATACAGCACTGTGAGTTATCTTTTTTGTTGTTTTGTTTTTGAGCGATGCCCAGCAGCAAGGAGTTATTTTTATGGAAATTACTGCAAGTCTTGAATGGAGAAGTCATAAGCTGATGTTTAGCTTCTCCTCATTGAGGTTTCAAAAGGAAGTAGAAATTATAAAACTTGCTCGGTAGTATCACAAGGTTTGAGTAAACCACGTCATCCCAAGGCGACAGAAGAGATGCCACGGAAGTGTCTACTGGACACGCAGGGATAGCTGGCACAGCACCACATCCGCTCAAGTGCAGAGTCCTGCACGCTCTCCCAGCGGACGGCGAGGCCTGCCTCGGCCACTGCTGCCCTCTCTCCGCAGCCGCAGCGGCCGGGCTCAGTCACGTCCCCAGACCCCGCGGTGCCCACTCCAGAGCCGCAGGCATCTGCTCCCACCAAGAAGTCAGACAAGTTCTCTTACTGAATTATTAAACTTGGGTTTGCTATTATTTCTTAAGTTAAAATACTTTTTTACTAGCTCCGATACAGGAAATACAAAAACATTTTCAAACAGAGTTTTGCTCACGACACTGCTAAAATTACATACAGGACACTGCTGATACTAGAAAAAGAAAAGACTATTGATTTTTGGAATATACACGACTGCGGTCAGACACGCAGCTCGAAGAGAAATTGGATCGTGCTCTTCGCTAGGCCTTTATCAGGACGCATCTTCTCAGAGAGCACCCTCGCTTCACAGGTGCACCCGACTCCTGTCACCGCTATGCAGTACAGACGTTCGTGAACAGCTGCTTTAAGGACAGAGCGCAGGGGCTGGGGATGTGGCTCAGTGGTACAGCTCTCGCCTTCCATGAGGTCCTGGGTTCAATCCCCAGCACCGTTAAAAAAAAAAAAAAAAGAATGGAGCACAGAAAGAGTAAAATTAGAGCAGAACTTTCTAGATTCTTTTTTGTTTGTTTGTTTTTGTGTTTTTTCCGGCACCAGGGATCAAACTCATGATGTGCCACTGAGCTAAATCCCCAGCCCCTAGAGCAAAACTTCTGATGAGACTATTGAGAACCAAAAATTGCAATCGCTTCATCAAACCGAACACTGATACAACAGTTTCCAAAAAACTAGGTCAAATATTCCCACCAGTGTTATGTTTACGTTGCCCTCTCTAATTATAATTGACATATTTTAAAATAAAGGTTCGTTACTTATACACATTAACCATATTATATAGTTGTGTGCGGTCCGAGGCACCTCCTCTCCATGCCCCGCAGCCCAGGCAAGTCAAGAAGTTGGGCGCTCGGGGCTGAACTTCGTTAGTGCAATCTCAGACCACACGCTGCCGGGACAAGAGCTCAGGTTTTCAGGGTGTGAATGTAGCTGTGAGAGCTGAACACCACCTCATCAATTGTTACACTGGCACTGAAAACACTGCCGTAAAAACGTCAGCCAAAGGACTAGGGCACGTACGCTGCATGCCTCGTGTCAGGCACGTCTCTGTGGTAGCCCAGGCGGTTACTGATGAGCATATTAAAGGCGTGCTTCTGATAGCCCAGGTCTCTCAGCTCCTGGTCCCGCTCGTTGAAAATCATACCTGAGGAAGAAAGCAGTTCCAGTCAGAGCATTAGTCTAGAAAGAGTTTCCAGAATCACTGTCAGGACGTCAGGCTTCCCGAAGTCTTGACTTCATTACAACCAGGTAATAACCGTGTTTCTCAAATCTAGGTTGTCTCAAGTTTCAAGTAAGTAAACTGAGGCCGGGGTCAAACTCTTTGCAGTGTAATGCAAAACAAGTACGCCTTACCCATAAAGTGCACCTGCTCACAGCCATAATGGAAGAACATTTTATTATATTTATGAGACAAACTTACCTGCAACCAAGAAACAAATTTCTGGTCATTTTCCATAAGAGCAATGGATTATTAAATCCCAGCAGACCTCAACAGGCCCCCATCTTAGCAAGTTTTAATATGAGCCCTATCCCTCAAAACAGCTACTGAGAAACCTTTCTACGAAAAAGGCTTCTGCAGACTCTGGTGTCAGACTGTAACGGGCCTCGCTGTCAGAGTCCTGCATGGCTCTAATCACGACCACTACAGACAAACGTGCTTGGTGTGATACTGTCAGAAACCCGTCTCTGCGTGAGCTTCCCCACCAAACCCTCGGCCCCTCCTCTGAGAACGACCCCTGGTGTGGCGGCACTTCCCACGTGCGCACGAAAACCTAATCCCATGGGACGCTAACAGATGTTAGCAAGAACAAGGCTTCATGGCCAGGGAAACTGAAGAAATTCTAAACGCGGTCCAATTTTTTGTCTTTACAGCAGGGCGACTCTGTTCCTTACCGCGGGGAATGTTCGCACCTCTGTGAGCGCATGCGCACGGCCGGTGAGGCAGAGGTGCCTCCCGCAGAGGGCTGACAGCGCGCGCGAAGTAGCGCCTCGGCGCAGCCTTCTAGAACCATCCCAGCGCGCAACACGGACACTGAGACGAGGGCTCTGGCAACGTTCAAAGCAAAACAAGAACCGCTTGAGCCCCAGCACCTGCCCCAGTGTCCGCACGGGAGATTCCCGACAAACATTCCTCACTCGACAATCATCCAACAAAGAACAACGCCATGCCAAATGCCGGGAACTGTTTTCTAATAGAGCTCCTGGCAAAAAATTACTCAGGTTAAACGACCACTCCAGCAGACTTTTCTTCTTCCCTGCTCAAACAAAATTACAGTCCCTGCTCAGTTAATCAGCATGCCAGGGGAGTTATTTCCATTAATTTTAAAATTCACTGCAGACTAAATGGGAAAACGTTAATAATCTGACATGGACTTTTTCACAAGTTCCTTTCCCTAACTGCTTACTGACAATTCTCCACCTTGCAGAAATCAACATACCTTCAACTATTGATTTATGCTAATTCCTTCCAAGTTGAGTCGTGTATGTGGAATGTTGAGGGCTTTTTAAAATTTTCGTGTGTGCCGACTGTGCACATAACCCGAACAGCACCGCTGCTGACATTTACACGTTCACGACGCTGCACAACCCGACACGGCCGAGCCGCACAGCACCTTCACCGCTTCTGCAGGAAAGCCGGTCCCTGAAGCAGGGACTCATAACCCTCCAGCCCCTGCCCCGCCCTCTGCTTCCCGTCTCCACTGCCTCAGTGTTCTGGACATTTCACAGTAAGAACAGACCCCCCGGGAAGTGACTTCCCACCACACCATCTCGTCATCCTTTCTGAAAATCAACTGACCATCGATGTCACAGGACTTTGTGTAGACTCTCAGTTCTGTTCTACTGCTCTATATGTCTATCCATACAGCAGTAAAAACTGTTCGGATTATTATAGCTTTGCAAGAACTTCTAAATTTTTTAAACTATGACTCCTCCAACTTTGTTCTTTTCAAGGATGCTTTGGCTATTAAGGCCTCTGCAATTCCTTATTAACTTAGGGTAAGCATCTCCATCTTTCCAGTACGGCCACTGGGATCCTGACAGGAAAGGCACTAAATCTACACACTGCTTTGGGTAGTACTGATGTCTGGACAGTGTTTTCTAATTCACCCTATGATAGGATGTCTCTCTGCTTGTACAGATCTACTTTCAGTATTGTTTTGCAGCTGTTAGTATATACTCGGTTGGCTACATTTATGAGCATTTTATTCTTTTTGTTGCCAGCGTAAGTGGAATTGTTTTCTTAATTTTGTTTTTGGGCCATTCATTGCTAATATATAGAAATACAACTGGTTTTTACATGTTGATCTACTACCCTGCAACTGCCAAATTCATTTATTGCTTTACCAGCGTATTTTGTAGATTCTTTAGGATTTTCCATAAGGAATTTAGTTTTCTGTTTAGGCAATTTGAGTTTGTCATTTTATGTATTTAGAGTTCTCTCCACACTTCTTCACTCACATACAAACTGTACCCAAAATGTAAATATTGTGTTACTTCTTTATAAAAAATTTTACCAAAGAAAACATGAATAAAGAGCTAAAAAATTTTTCTACTAGTACTTTTCGCACAATGTAGTTCAGGCTGGCCTTGAACTCACTACATAGCCCAGGCTGGTCTCAAATTCATAGCAATCCCAACTGCCTCAGCCTCCCAAGCGCTGCGATTATAGGCATGGGCCACCACACCTGGCTTACTAATACTTTTAAAATGTAAAGTGCTTGAAAAAGCTGCAGAAGGTATTAGTTTGTTTCTAATATACTTTTAATTGGCTTCCTTTATTACAGAATCATTAAGTCCTAAAAACTTACTTTTCTAAAACTCTGAAGACATGAAAATGACTAAATGAAATGTCTGTTTTAACATTTGCTTATTATATAACTCTTGCAGACTCTCAAAATAAATTATTATGTTTTTGCTCCTAAATTATTTGATGTTGCTATGACAGGGCCAAAGCTCATTTTTTTACATTTTGAAAATAACCAAAATGACTCCTTTATTCCTTACATGTGCTAACACCAAGACTGGAGAGCCGTAGTGTTCAAAGGCATTTACAGTAATGAGTATTGCTTCCAAATTACACACTCTGAGGGGAAAGAAGCTTTCTATTTTATACTCAGGTTTCATAAACTATTTTATGCATTTTTTCATTCATTTATTCCAAGACCTTCATTGTCATAGTGGAGATCTTCTTAGATATGAGTTAGCTTAGCTAACTTCTAACACTTTATGCTGTTATCATTTTTTGTCTTCAAAGTAAGTTGAATATAGTCATCTACCAACCATTCCTTTCGCTTATTGAAGTGCCCTAGCAATTTAAAAACCTCTTCCTGTAGGCTCCACAGTATTTTCCTTCTAGATCGTCATTTCTTTCTTCTTCTTTGAGTCTTACTAGTTTCTCGCAGGTCATTATAAAATACTGAAGTTAGAGCTGAAGAAAAATCTGAATATAACTCCCCCTGAACATGCAAGAACAGTAAAACTCCAACCAGCTCCCAAAGAGAACAAATCGGTGTGGGGGGAGGGGAGGCGGCACATGTCCACTCATCTGATCAACACATGATCTGAGGAATAATTAAACTCCTAACGAATACATACTCCGATGTCGCTTTTAATAAAGTCAAATGTACTTACCCAATTCAGAAGAGAATTTCAGGCGGCCTTTTTCTGGATCTTCAACTTTATTATCTATCACATCATCAATTTTATTTGGTTTCAACTGTGGATCTAATATTTTACTTGGACCTCTAGTGAAACGAGGATAGAATTTTTTAGGAAATGGTCCATGGGGCCCAGACCCCTTGATGGGCACATTCTTAAATGGCTGAGTCACTTCACTGAAGTTGAAATAAACAAAAAGCAAAACTGTCCAGGTCGCAGATGTAAAAAGGCACCCATAACAGAAATACCGAACTGTGACACTGCCCATTATAGACCTAGCATAGCTG